GGGGGAGAAAAAAAAGAGACAACGCATCAACATGAAATATTAATACTGCAGCAACTTTACATAAACATAAAAGCACTTAACCAGTGTGAATATGGAGATGACACTTGTTAATTTACAGCCGCTAAACTTTCGGAGTATTCGCCATATCAGCTGGGAAGAAAAGATGCGTCCCAACAGAGACGAGCAGAACAAAAGACAACACAAATAAAGCTTGTTTTATATGAAAAATCATTTTCATGTTCAACAGGGGAAGTCCACTTCTTTTTTTTATGCACCTGTTATTTTTTTTCAGATTTTATTATTATTTTTTTATGTATTTTATTTTTGGCTTTTCATGAAGTGTTGTTCTTAGTCTGATATTCAAAAAAACATCCAAAACAGAAACACACTTTTCATTTATTCTTTTGTCGCATGTTATGAATGTGTGTATATATTTTGATTGTAGTACATATATGTAAAGCCTGTTTTGTCAAAGGAAAAAAAAAAACTGTATTAAGTCATAAATCTTCACTTTTGGAGTTTTTGGCAGTTCAGCAAACTACGCTACCAGACAAAAGTCTTGTCATCGATGCCAGTTGTAAAAGCAACAAATAGTAACTCAACTTCATTTGGAAAAGTTGCAGACTGTAGATTTTTCCAATGAATCATCTGTTGAACTGTATCCCAATGATCACAAATACTGCAGAAGACCTACTGGAACCCGCATGGACCCAAGATCATGGTTTGGAGATACATTCAGTATGGGGGAGTGCGAGAGATCTTCAGAGTAGATGGCAACAACAACAGCCTGAGATATCAAGTCTTTTGTGCTGCCCATTACATTACATTAGAAACCACAGGAGAGGGCAAATTCTTCAGTAGTTTCTTTCAGTTTCTAAAAGCAAAGAAGGTCAAGGTGCTCCAGGATTGGCCAGCCAAGTCACCAGACATAAACATTATTGAGCATGTCTGGGGTAGGATGAAGGAGGCATTGAAGATGAATCCAAAGAATCTTCATGAACTCTGGGAGTCCTGCAAGAACACTTTCTTTTCCATTCAGATGACTTTATTAATGAGTGAAAAAACAAGGAATGATCATATTTTATTTTGGTAAAATAAGCATAATCTAGAGGCCTTTGCCTTCCATGTAAGCCACTTGTGATACTAAATGATCAGCTAGAAGTCAAGTTATCATTTGCTGTTCCTAAAACTTGGATAGGCGACAAGACTTTTATCAGGTCGTGTACTTCTAATATTAGGAAGGTTTTTACACAGTGATTTGTTCATGTAATATTTGCTTGATTATTCATAATTTCTTATTCTACAATTTTTATTTTCTGGCTATTCATGCATTATGGAGTGATAAATAAAATCTTTGGCTCTAATATGTAAAAAAGAAAGTAAAAACAAATCTTTTTGATCATATTTAAGATGATTTTCAAATAATAATGATCTCCACTCTGACGCTCCGCAGCTTGTTACAGTGGCTGATGTGCGCAAACTAACACGAAATGTTAGAAGTGAGATATCTTAGTAACCTTTTTTTGCTCCTGAAATTTGTTGTGGTTGAAATGCAGACTAAATTCTAATTATACCTGACAAAAGAGACCAACAGAGATGTATTTACAATGGTTTTAATTCATATAAAAGCAGTATGTCAACATGTACATAAACAAATGAGTTTACGTATTTTATTTTAATAAAAGTCTCAGAAGAATTTAGTGATTTACATTAACGTACTTTATATACTTACGTTTAGCTGTCTGTGTGTGTTTGTTCCTTCATTCCAAATATTTGCGGCAAATGTCACAATATACATGTTAAAATAAAAAGAGATCAGTTTAAACAGACCTTATGTCTTTTTGTGGTGGCAATAGAATATCTGTATATCCTGCATTTTGCATGCTGATGGCTCTTCGCTGCTTGTTTCACTCTCACAGAACCACTGGTGTTTTACACTAGCAAGGTTTACATGATAACGAGTAAACAATGATTTATGTCGTATATTTGAGGCTTGTAATTTTCATGAACTTTAATTTTTCAACTATGTCTAGGTTTATGCAGATTTTCATTCTGTGGCACCTTTAATAAAGTAACAGCTCAGTTGCATATTTAAAAACCATTTTAGATAGCTTGTAATACGAAAATATTTGCAACTTCCTAATATAATCAATTAACTGGCGAAAATATGGTGATAACTATTAGCTAATTTCTATCCTCTTCAGCATGCGGTGTCTTGACTGAAGAAGCTGCAGTGATTATTGATATTAGTGCTGCTTGTGTGGATGATTTTCAGCAGATGGTTATGAGCATATTATCAGCATATGTAATTGGTTTAGTTAACCTTACATTACCTGGATCAAGCAGCTCTTTGTGGTTCATTTTGTGTTTGTGTTCTGCTGTGTTTCATCACAGGCTTCAGTGCTTTAGGAGTGCAGGAAAATAATTCACCTAATGTTTTATTACTCAAAAAATGTCAAGCTGTTTGAACCTCAAATAAATAGAACATATTTTGCGACATTTCCCTTAGTTTTACTGAATTAATTTAGTGTTGATGTTTATCTTTCTCTTTTCAATGGAAATATTTCAATGACTGTTACATTTTTTTATTTAAATGTTCTGAACAATATTGTATATTATAATATATTTTTTGTTATATGTATACAGTTGAAGTCAGAATTATCAGCCCCCCCACCCCCCCTCTTCATTATTTTAATATTTCCTGAATGAAGTTTAACAGAGCAAGAACATTTTCACAGTATGTCTGATAATATGTTTTTTTCTTCTGGAGAAAGTCTTATTTGTTTTATTTTGGCAAGAATAAAGCTTTTAATTAAAAAAAAAAAAAAAACACATTTTAAGGACAAAATTATTAGCCCCTTTAAGCTATTTTTTCTTTCGATGGTCTACAGAACAAACTATCATTATACAATAACTTGCCTAATTACCCTAACCTGTCTAGTTAACCTAATTAACCTAGTTAAGCCTTTAAATGTCACTTTAAGATGTATAGAAGTGTCTTTAAAAATATCTAGTCAAATATGTTGTACTCATATCATAGCAAAGATAAATAAATCAGTAGAATTTGGGTTATTAAAACTCTTAGGTTTAGAAATGTGTCCTTTAAACAGAAATTGGGGAGAAAATAAACTGGGTTAATGATAGGGTTAATTCATTTAATAATTCAGGGAGCTAATAATTCTTCAATTGTATGTACACTACTACTGCTAACTAATATTTATTATTGCTATTGATATTAATATAAACATATAATTTGAATATAAAAAGATAATGACAATATGTATTATTATAGTTATTCTTATAATTAATATATTATAATATTTATTGTACATTTTGTATTTTCATTCATTTAATAACTACTATTAATAAATATTTTATTTATAAAATATTTAATAGCATTTTTTGTAGTTATGCAAATTAAAATGTGTTGTAAATTATAACTATTAATAAACATTTTATTTATAAAAATGTACATCTACTATAATATTATTAATAATAATGATAACAATATTTTATATATTACCATTGGATACATAGCAAATATCCCCACAAATACTACTACTTCTATTACTAATAATAATAATATGTATCCTTATTACTGTTGTTGTTATTATTATTATTGAATTTTGTTATTAGTGTTATTATTCAATATGCAATAATGTATAATGTAATATGAAAATATATTTAAAATTATTATTTTAGTTATTCTAATTACTATTATATTTATTATACAATTTCGGTTATGATTCATTTAATAAGTACTACTATTAAATATTTTATTTAAAAAATATTTAATAATAGCAGTTATTAAATGAGTTATTCCATTATATATTTTATCAAAAAAATTTATATATATATATATATATATATATATATATATATATATATATATATATATATATATATATATATATATATATATATATATATATAATTTTTATTTTTAAATTTTTTTTTATGTTGGTATAAGTAGGTAGTCTTTGGCTTGGTTTCAGTTGGTGCAACACGTCTTCTGACAGGGATCCTATTTTATCCCCGCTTCACTGGCTGCCTGTACAACACATTTTATTTTGAATTGCTTTTAAATCTATGAGTGGGTCAGCGCCTTCATTTATATCACAACTGCTACACACCTACGTAACTTCTCGCTCTCTTACATCAGCTGCTTCTTAGAGTGCCTAATGCTAAGCGTAAGCTCAGAGGAGGCCGAGCCTTTGCTGTGGCTGCTCCCAGACTATGGAATACTCTGCTTCTTTACATTAGGCAGGCTCCCTCATTGTCTTTATTCTAATCTCATCTCAAAACAAACAAAAACCTTTTTTTTTCCCCTTGGCCTTTGACACTTGATTTTTTATTTTATTTTTATTATTTTAAATAGCAGTTAACTATATCTTAAATTTACGTTTTTTCCCCCTAATTTTAAATATGTTTTATAAGTCTTGTGTCGTGTTGTGAACTCATTTTAATGTACAGCACTTTGGTTTGCTCTCTGGTGATTGTTAAGTGCTTATTTTTAAAGTTTGCATTGTGTTTTATTTATACAAATGTACATATTTTAAAATAATATTAATAAGAGTTATTATTAAACAAAAATTTACAATTATCCCCTCAAATTTGATAGGTTTTACAAACAAAACCTTATTGCTTTAAAACAAATTTTAAAAACAACTAAAGTCGTCATTTCATTTATCAGATCAAAAATATAGTGTTAAAGACCACAGGTATATAGTAAAGCAATAAAAGCACATGCGTCTAGAAAGAAGAAGACATCTAAAAGAGTGGGGCTTTTTCAATGTCATCTAGGCTTTTTACACACACACACACACACACACAGCAGCAGCATCGCTTCAATTAACAGAGCAGCAGGTGCTCGACTTCTCTTGATTTCTCTGTCTGCTTTTTTCCTCTCTTTTTGACCTGTAAATGTGACTCTTCACACTCTGAATGGCTCTGCTCCTCCACCTATTTGCGAGGTGTTAATTTAACTGTGTGTGTGTCAGGTGTCGAGTCTGAAGAGTAAGCTGAAGAAGCAGTCCACGGCGACCGGCGCTGGTGTGGCCCGGGCCTTTCTGCACGCTCAGGCCGCGCTCTTCGGATCCTACCGGGACGCCCTCCGATATAAACCCGTAAGACTGATGCACTTCACTTACAATTACAGTACAGTATCTGTACATTAGCAATACTTGATGCATCACTGAAGTGTGGGATGCAGTGAGATAATCTATAAGAGGTTTTTTAAATGGGTTTTTAAATTTTATGGCCTAGAAATTTTATTCTTTTCATCTTGTTTTATACAAGCAGGCATTTATACACTTAATACTTTTTTTTAAACTTGTTTTTAAATTAAATTAAATTTATAAATTAAGAAATGTTTAAGTCAGTTTGAGCTTTATAATTAAATGATTTTTTCAGTTTTAAGTTATGTTCAGTTAATGACTAAAATGCGAAATGATTTTACCATAAAATAAATGAAATATTTTTTTCTGTAATTTTTCTGTATTTTTAACTTTTATTTTTCAATAGTTTTTTATATTTACATATGCATTTATAAAAAAAATACTTATACAAATCATTTTTTTCTAAAAATAAACTCATATTTCCAATCATAAATATGAACATATTTCAAAATACTGTTACACTTACAAATATCCTGTTTTTTTTTCTATTAAAGAAAAATTAGTTATTTAAATTTAGCTAATTATTTTTTTAGATATACAGCATCCGGAATGTTATTTTAAGGGTTTATAAAGCCAGTTTCTTATTAACATTGTATTATTAAGTTAATTAATTATTTAAAATAGTCTATTATAAGTCTATTAAATAATATTTAAATGATATATTTATATATCTATAAAATTTTACTTAAATTTATATGAATGTTTACATTTTTAAAAATGTATATTTATATATATTTATATAGTATTATATTTCTTTATTACATATAAATTTTTGTGTAATTTATATATTTATATTTAACATTTTTTATTTGTTTCTGTATTTTACTTATGCATTCATTAAAATATTTATACAAACATTTTTGTTTGTATAAATATGAACATATTTAAAAATTATATAATATTTAACAAAATTATCCCGTTTCTACACCATCTCAAATTTTATTTTAAGGATTTATAAACCCAATTTCTTATAAAATTTTTATTAATCAATCTATCAATTAATTATTCAAAGACTATAAACTATAATCTGATTAGTCTATTTACGACTATTTATATTATATTTTTAATCTTAATAAAAGTTTTTATTTCTAAATTCTTTTTTTTCTGTAGACTTTATTACTTTATTATATATCAATATTATAAATACAGTTGAAGTCAGAATTATTTGCCCCCCTGTTTATTTTTTCCCCCAATTTCTGTGTAACGGAGAGAAGATTTTTTTTCAACACATTTCTAAACATAATAGTTTTAATAACTCATTTCTAATAACTGATCTATTTTATCTTTGCTATGATGACAGTAAATAATATTTGACCAGATATTTTTCGGGACACTCCTATACAGCTTAAAGTGAAATTTAAAGGCTTAACTAGGTTAACTAGGTTTACAAGCAAGGTTAGGGTAATTAGGCAAGTTATTGTATAATGATGGTTTGTTCTGTAGACTATTAAAAAAATATATAGCTTAAAGGGGCTAATAACATTGACCTTAAAATGGTTTTTTATTCTATTTATTTATTGTAGCAAAAATAAAACAAATAAGACTTTCTCCAGAAGAAAAAATATTATCAGACACACACAGTTGAAGTCAGAATTATTAGAATTATCTATTTTATTTATCTAATAATAAAATTGTAAGAATTGTATTTTATTTTATTGCTGATTTCATATAAACCTTAAAGCTCAGAGGTGTAAGATTTGTCTCAGAAGCCATTTTCCTCACAAAGGCGGTCTGAAACAGAAAGGGTGAGTGCAGGTTGCAGGTGGGCCTGTCTGCATATCTGAAATGTCAGATGTTTAAAGCCCCGCGTGTCTCTCTGAAGTCTCCAGCCCTTCGTGCTCCTCTCAGACCTTCGAAACTCCTGAAAACAAAGTGCGCTTTCTGTTTGTCAAATGTGGCCGTCTTTGTTGGCAAGCCAGAGAGTAATTGGTTTGTGTAAACCCACAGAGCCAAGATGCATTATTGATGTTTCAGCGCTTGTGCACAAACTGGCTTTTCGCCGCTCGAAAAACAAAAAAAAAAAAAGAAGAAGAAAAAAATACACACATGCTCCAAGTCAGAGTCTGCGCAACTCTTAGCCTTCAAAGCGTTGCTTCAATTGAGCACATTTTCTGCAAATCTACATGGGATTACTACTGTTTTTATTCTTCTATTCTGTTATGGAAGGCCTCAGTAACGCCACTTTACTTTGCTCGTCTGACAGTCGACTGCTGATTATTGTGATTCGGAGAAATCAGGCTTTGTGCTGCTTTATTTTGATTAATATTTCACTTTGTTATTATGGAGCCACACAATAAAACACCCTCATGGTTTGCAAATGATAGTGTTTTTGTGTGAAATATTGCATTTTTTATTAAATCTGTCATTTCTAGAGGTTCATTGAGCTAAACAAAGCTTATTTTGTTAAAGAAGTGTAGAATTTATGTGAAAATTGTTCATAATGTTAATTTTCTTAAATAATCTGCTTTACTAATGACAACAATTTTCACAGAAGAGGTTAAAAGGCTAAAAAGTACGGTTGTTTACAGTATCGTGCTACATTTTATAATGATATTAAGAAAAGGAGGCAATGCCAAAAGCTCCAAAAATAACAGATTTATTTACTTGAATAAGAATTTGCCATTTAATATATATGTGTATATGTTTTGTTTGGCTGAGCAGCCAGTTGAGATTGTGCTTTTGTTCAATTATTTTTTATTTATAGCAGCTTTATGAACTATTTACATAGGACAAAATCTGCAAAAAACAGCAGTAAAAAAAACTCTACAATATTCATAAGAGGTAATTTAACAAAATATGTCATACTACTATTAGTAGTAGTAATAGTTTATTTGAAAATTTTAATACTTAAATAATATAAATATAAATAATGTTTGTGAAACCAAACAATGTTTTTTGTGAAATTAAAGTAGTGGTCCAGTGTGTTTTTTAAGGCTTGGTTGTGTTTATAAGATGCAAAGCAATGTGTGCTCATGCTTCATTTATAGAAAATCACGTTATTTTTTCATATATCTTAATTTGATTTTATACAGCTACTCAGCTAACATAAAAACGACTGTCATATCTCTGAGTTCCATCGAGTTTCTTCCTCAAGAGGCTCTGATTGGTCAGCTAACATAATATGCCGTGATTTGTGGATCGGCTCCACGTCACCAAGAAAAGCATCAAGCTGCTACTTTACAAGCAAGCGCTTTTGCACAGTGTAAATAGTATATACTTTACTAATAGTAAAGTAGCTGTCCATATCAGTTTGAGCCTGAATCAAACAGAAAATAAGGGGCATACAGCTGAACCTCACACCTGCTCTCTAAAATAAAATCTGACAAATGTCTTTCACATATATTAGGAATAAGCATGTGTAAGTAATGAGAAAATATATCTTTTGCAAGTTCGCTATTTGAGATTTACAACACAGGGAAAGTGGAGGCATAGAGAGATTGTGGCGGTTTACGATTTGATGGATACATATGAATTTGTAGCTTAATTGTTAACTGTGCCAAATAGCATTTTCCCATTCTTTACATCTTTCCTATTCTTTACATCCCTGCCACAACATACCAATAACACTAGACACTATGCATGTAATAAATAATAAAAAAAATAATTAATTAAAAAAACACTTGCAGGTTGTGGCTCACAATCCACAGCTTCTTCTGTCATGGAGCTGTTCCATCTTGGAGGAGTTTTAACTGAATCCAGAACTGAACTGGGAGAGATTCTGAAAGCTGTCCTTTGTCAAATGCTAGCTATATATATAGGCGGCAGGCCGAGTGCCTTAGTTCTTCCACATGCAGAAAGTTTTTAAAAATATTTTTGTGTTAATCGTTGTTTAATTTAATTTGGCAAATTGTACAAAGACAGCTTTTACAAATAATTTTCATGCTCAGTTTTGTAACAAAACAAACAAGACAACTTAGAGTTTCATAAAAAACGTAAAGCTATAACATTTTCCTAATTTCTAATATTATTACAGTGCTCAGAATAATTGAGTACACCCCATTTATCCATTTCTCAGTCAATATAGGCAGTGTATTTTGGTGCATTAAAAAAAACAGATTTATTAAACAGATATATTTATTAAATTAATATTTTAGTCACAGAACATCTTTTAAAAATGAAAGATAATACAATTAAATTCAAGCTAAATATTGCAAAAAAAAAAATTACAGCCAACAAAAAGTAAAAAAAATATATATATTATTTTTTTGTCTCTTGATTTTTCCTCTTTTTTAAATTTGTATTTAATATTTTTCCCTAACATATACATTTGAGTGTACTTGCGTTCGGACCGCTATCGTAAGTTATTTTGTTAGATTAGCTCCAGATTTGGCTTCAGTACTGACTAATCTAATGTATATGCACAAATATAATATTTTTAAGTATCCTATAAAAATTTTTATTTAAATGAGAGATTTGTGGGGGGTGTACAAATAATATGTAACCAATATTTGTTGTATTGAAAGTGCTTTATTTTTAACTTTTCAAGGTCAGTCTTTCAGAAAATATGTAAGTACATATAAAAAGTAGACATGTATTCAATCAAATGTGACTACATATGACAACTTTTACAAAGTATTTTGACCAAAATTTCATAACTTTATTCTCCGTACGTGCACTAATCTAAGGGCATTGCTTAAAAAGACTCAAACTATTCAAAATCAGCCTTTGTGTTTGCTTTAATAAATATTTAATAGAAAGGTGAAAGAAATATAAAGAGAAATATTTACGTTAAATCTGTGCTTCGTATCCTTTTCATAGAATAGCAGGAATGGCATTAATTGCAATCTTTTGTTATAAAAATCTGTAATTTATGCACAATTTCTTCATCTTCGTGCATCTGCGCTATTTGATTTTACACATGCAGTATTTCAGCAGCATTACTGTCATGTTCAGCGATAATGGCTTCTTTTCTGTGCGCTGCGTTTCCAAAGAGGTTTATGCGTTTCCATCAGCGCCTCAGCAGAGCATCCGCAGACATCTAACTGAGCTGTAAATGAAACGATGCAGAGGAACCATAATGAGCTCCTGTGCGTGAGGGCTTATATAGCGCTTATATAGGGCATTGTGGTGTGATGCCTCATGGGGGTTTTGTGTTATTGACCCTAAAGCGCTTAAAACGGCGGTAAAAGATACACAGATCAGACAGTTTTTTTAGACACACCACTTACGTGAAAAAAATGAAATTATTGTTGTTTATAATTGTTCTTCAAGACTTTAGCTCGCTTTACTTGTGTATGAATCCTTAGCAGTATGAATTTCTGTTGGAATATGTGGTCATATCAGTAGGAATGGGTGTATTGAATAAGAATAAATGACTTTTGGTGATAATTGTTATTAATAGCATTCATAAAGAAAATTTGGACTGAAATTTCTGTGAAAATGCAAACAAATTAGACATGGGACAATTACCGGTTTTAACATAATAATAATATATTTTATTTGTAATGCGCTTTTCTCATGGCGATACGAGGCAAAAACAATAAAGCAGTAAAAACAATAAATACAATAAAACAATTAATAAGATAACAAAAAATCATACATTAAAAGCACTGATAAAAAGGTGAGTCTTAAGTCTTAATGATAAAATCAAGCTTTTAAAACTGCTCAAATTTTCTGGTCCTAAAATATATGTACGTTGTTTTATGTGGAATATTTTATTTCGTTTTTTAGGGTAAGAATATCTCTAGCAAAAAAGGACCCAGCACATCAAAAGCTACAGATCAACCCATGATTCAGAAAAGATTTGAAAAACAAATCTCCTATAGACCAACCTCTAAACATGCTGGACTCGAACAGTGCAGTGACTTACTTTATATCCAGCATAGGCTCATTCTGAAAACGTAGCCCTATATACATTTCTGGAGATCCCCAATTATGTAGCCAAAGCCTACCTATGGCTGAATTTCGTCTTTAAAATGAATGATACGGGACCGAATGATGCCGTTCCTTTTTGTGCTTAGCAGCTGACAGCTTACCTCTCCATATGGATGCTTTTCCACTGTTATGAGTTTGTCCGTGACATGTACAGTACGCCGGGGACTTGAGACGCAGAGCGGAGTTGTAAAAATAAAACGTATTTAAGTGTTTAGTGTTTTGAGGCATATTTATTGTCTGACCTACAGTGTCCTCTGGTTACTTATTTCAGAGGTTACTGGAGGTCAAATTATACAAACTTTGCATCTAACTTCTACTGTATTTTAGGATATGTTCATACCATCACCAATTTACCTAAAATTGTCTTGTGAAGACCTACGATGTCTATCGGTGGTCTAAATCTGCCAGTTTCAGACTATTGAATGTTTTTTTTTTTTCTTGCATTGACCAATTGGTGCGATTATGGATGCACAGTGGCATTAACCATTATGGGGTGGTCAAATGTATATATTATCTGGTATTTTAATCATTAACGTTATTATTTAAAATACAGATCAGTTTCAACTCTCACTATTAAAGATCTGACCCCCCTTTTATATACACACACACACACACACACACAAACACAAAGTTGAAGTCAGAATTATTAGCCCCCTCAGAATTTTTTTTTCTTCTTTGAATTTTTCCTAAATTATGATTAACAGAGCAATGAAATGTTTACAGTATGTCTGACACACAGTATGTGTGTGTGTGTGTGTGTGTGTGTGTGTATATGTACGCATGTATGTAATGTGTATATATAATGTGCATACTGTAACTAACAAAGAATTGTCATGTTACTTACATATTGTTATGTTGCTTTGATTGCTTTTGTTAATCAGATAATTAAATAGTTATGTTATGATGGCAATTCAATTAGCATATTAATGTTTTATGAGTTTATGTAGAAACATCCAAAACATTTCTAATATCATTTGATTCACATTCAGTACTACAACGCAATGCAATTTTTATATATAAGGTTTTACAAAAAATTTGCTTTTCTATTTTTTTGTTTTTACCTTACAAACCCACAATAACTGTTTTCCTATCAACACAGTAAGGAAGTGTTTTCTCCCAGTAAGACTTAGTTGCTCTCCAGGCGTCTATTTTTCTTTTTTCTTTCTTTTTTTTTTTTGTATTCCGTTCATGCGACTCGGGGAGAGAAATTGAAATGATGTAATTGATTGCAACGGGCGATGATGATAAACAAGCGCGTGCAGTCAAACAAAACATCTGTCTGCGAGTCTCGGATGAAGCACTGCCGTTTGCAGGCGTTTTAGCCAATGGCGGACTGTCTATAGTCATTAAAGCCGGCTTTCTCATCCCCAGGGAGAGCCAATCACCTTCTGCGAGAAGAGCTTCGTGGCACACCGTTCCAGCGCCATGAGAGGCTTCCTTGAGATGGCAGTGAACCTGCAACTCTTCAAGCAGGTACAGTGAAAACTCTGCCTCAGCCATAAATCACATATGCAGTGTTTCACAGTAACTCTCACACTAACCCTTACACTACCCTCCAGGTCTTTTTATAGCCTTTAAATCCAGTCAGTTTTCATAGAAACAACAGAAAAAGTTGTAAGTTCATTTAATATTTAGAAATAAATCATAACCTACTCCACTTGCTCTGAAACAAAAATAACACTTGAGCAATATTAATTTCTGTTGAAATTTTTTGTAAATTTATTGGATTAATAAATTTATTTTACATAAGATTATCTTCGTAAACATAGAAAAGGCAGAAAAGTGGAATCTAATTTATGTAATTTGCACAGAAACTGTAAACAAATTGCTCATAAACGTTCAATTTTAGTTAAATATGACAGTTAAGATGTAATAATCATTAATAAATGGTTTATATTTACATTAGGGATGACTTGACACTGTTTAACATTTTTTTTTATCCTCACTTATAAGTGGCTTTGGATAACAGCATCTGCTAAATGTAAATGTACTGTCAAATCAGAAATTATACAGCCACCTTGAACTTTTCAAACAGAAAGTTTTATAATATAACAATTAGGTTGTCCCGATCAGCTTTCTTTGCTCTCGAGTCTGAGTCATTTGATTTTAAGTATTTATTGATACCGAAACTTAATGTGATACTTCTATAATATAAAAATAAAATATTAAAGAAAAGCAAAGAAACAGATCCAGAATGTTCCTTAGTTTTTATTTAATTCACATTATTTTAAAAATCAACTACTCCGTTAACAAACAGAACACTTCTGTGAGGTAGTTTGAACAATCAAGTAATAAAGAACATCAATTCTTCCCCTCTTGCAATCCCAAGTTTACATATCTCATCAGATATCCACATCTACATATCTACACATCCACATATCAGTTTGCTATGACAATGCTGTAGTCATTAACTTTGTAATACCTCCAGACCGCAGACATACTCGAGTTATTGCTAGATAAGATACGGTTGGGGCCAGAAATATTTATTGATATTATTTATTAAATTTCCCATTAATTGTATTTTATTAACGTCTACCCCAACTCTAAACCCCCAACCGTCACAGTAATGTAAAAAAATTAATTATTGTTACATAGTGTCACGCACATCAATATAGCATTATTTTTGTATCCGCAGCTATATCCTATCTAGACATTACCACATACTCGCATTTTCTGCTTTAAGCTGCTTCTGTGTCCTACTTTTTCAGCATTTAACCAATAGCATCTCTGATACAAAGTGATGACGTCATGCCACACGCATTGTTGTTTTGTGTGAAGTGAAGAAAGAGGTCTAACTCCGTGCCACCGCATAACTATAGATGTGTTAAAATATAATGAGAATATATAAATAAATATATATATATATATATATATATATATATATATATATATTCAAGTCCTGATCAGGATGTAACGTCTAATTCTGATTGAGTCTGAAACCATGTGATCGGGCCTGATTTCCAATCATGTGATCGGACCTGGACATCCCTAATAACAATAACTTGCAAGTTTAACTATGTTGGAACAAAATCATCTTGATAATCTCAGATAATTTTTACAGAAATTAACAGTAAATCAACCCAGACTCTCTGCAGCAGCCTCTTCACTTCCACTGTATGAAGAATTTAGGGTTGAAATGTGTCACAGTCTACTTTATTGTGCTTATTTCCATAAATAAACTATAGTGTCCTGCACCCAATATTTTAAAACCATAAAAATCTCTGTATAGTCTCTGAATAGGTTTTGGTTTGATTTTCTGCAATGTACATGTTACAGTATGTTTTTCATGTAAATATTGCACAGTAAGTCTCAGGAGCGCTTACACTTCCCTCCAGCCCTTTTAAAGCTGTAATATGGAGTGTCTTTCTTCCCCCTCTCTGCCAAAATCTTAATTTATACCCGCATTTAATCACATTCAGTCTCAATGCATAACATTCCCTCCAAAAAAAAAAAAAAAAAACCCAGATAGTGACCAGTAGTTCAAAGACATCTCCACCTCCAGTAGCTCCGGGAGAGCCCTTATCTCCAACTTGGCCGTTCTGCAAAAGGCCAGCGCCGCGGTGCCCCGTTCTGACCATGAACCACATCTGCTCGGAGGCCCGTCCTGCCTAGAAACCCAGTAAAGGCTTCCTGCCAAGAGATTGCGGGGGAAGTCTGTCAGCGACGACCTGCTTTCTGTCTCCTAACTCTCCTTCTTCCAGCGGCTGATGCTAACTCACGTTCACCCTGCCAACCGGAGAGAGCTCGCAGCGCTCTGGCATCTCCCCATCTCCCTGTCTGCACGGGTCCGGTTAACCGCTTCTTCCTCCAGACTCTCATCACTTCCCCCTCGACACATTCAGATGCAGTGCTTTGGGCTTTTTTTAACTCTCTATAGTTGCGTTTAGCAGTTGCTTGGAGACTTTTTTTTTTACTAACTAGCTATGACTCCTTTCATTGTAATCATAGTTAAACTGGAAGCATAAGTTAAATATTTTAGGTTATAATGCATTTATGTTTAAAGGAATAGGTCATACTAAAGTGAAAATTGGCTGTCCAAGGTGTAGGTGGCTTATTTCTCTGTCCAGTACATCGTTTAAGATCATTGGTGCTTTGTAAAATGCAAGTCAATGGCTACAGGGATATTGAGACTCAAAAAATATATAAAGTCAAAACAAAAGTAATATTTGTGGCTCCTGATGATACTTTGATATCTTAAGTAAACAAATCAATCTGTGAAATAAAGTCAGCATGATTACATTATGATCTGCTGACTAAGAATACACAAGACATGTCACTCGTATTGTTTTAAATGAGGAAAAGTGTAACAGTCAGTATGTACAGGAGCCAATCATCGCTCGCTATAGACTGAAGTTTCTCCAGGAGAGAAGCTCAAACCATACATGTGCTGTTACGACAGTTTTTGTGGTCAACAAACACACTGAATTCTTAGCAAATTCTTGCTTCACAGACATAAGAAATATATCAACATGAAGCTTGACATCTGTAGCTGTAAATAAACCAAGTGCACTTAAAAACAAAAGTTTTTTTGTTTTGTAATTTGTATGAAACAAATGTGTGGTGCAGTAAAATGCCCACAAACTTGTAAACAAAAAGTCGCTGTCATTTCTGGAGATTGCCAATCATGGAAATTCACCATCAAGAGCAAGAGCGATCAGACAATAATTATTCAGAGTATGATAATATGTAGAACGACCATAAATGAGGTTGGTGTTGTGATCTCGTTCCCTTCGAGTGCGCATGCTCGTTAGCTCGGGCAACCTGTAAAAATTCAGATTTTGTTTGATTCAAACATTTAGAAACGAAACTCATGAGACAGTTGATATTTAATTTTATTGGTGATTCCTAATATTTAGGATAATCATAAGCTTGGCCAACAGTTTTGGAGAATTAGATTTTTTCCCATTCATATGAATGCCCGAGCATACTGCCTGATAGTCATCTCAAAGATGGTGCAGAATGAAATTACTTGCCTTAAAGGGACTTTAGCGTTTTTGCAACAGGATCATTTTGTTGAATGTCTATTGCTGTTTTTATTTACACCAAGTTCCACTAGCTGTTAATTCGTATTTTGTTTTTTAGCTAAAAGTATTCTCTACTGAAGTATTCTCTACTGAAAGAAATCATCTACATCTTGGATGTCATAATAGCGAGTAAATGAACAGCAAATTTTCTCTTATGAGTGAACTGTCCATTAACTTGACATTTTACAACATGTTTAAGAAAACAAATTAACACCAACTTTGTTATTAATTATTTGTTTTGGAAACTAATTCAGATATTTCAAGCAGTTCTTATTTTGATGAACCAGTATCAATTCTTAAGTAGTTATTTCAGTTCATTCAGTTAATGTGCTAAAATTCTGAATTAAAATTTTAGATGTACTTGTTCAAAAACAGATGTTAAAAGCTTTGTAATAATTCTTTGTTACTTTATTAACTAATATAATAGTTTTTTTGTAAGACTCTTTAAGTTCAACTCAGTAACCTAAATTATACTGATGAAAAAAATAAAATCGACTAACGATCTACTTGAGGGGCATCCTTTTTCAAATGTTGCCATATTGCAGGCAACAGGAACAAATAAACAACATTAAAAAAAAATCTTGCCAGCATGATATTTGAGAGAACATATGTGAAATGTGTTTCATGCATTGATAATATATGTGTACATGAGTGGAAAATCCACAGTACAAAAACTGAGCTACATTGAACTTTGACTGTCTCGCAAATATAAGCAAGGCAGGTTTTTTTATACAGCACAAATTCATACACAATGGTAATTCAAAATGCTTTATATAAACAGGAGTAAAAGAAACATAAAATACAAGTATAAAAAATGAAAACAACAAAGAATAAATTGGTTAAATGTGTTTAGACATGTAAACTACTTTTTGTTGTGCTTTAGTCAGGGCAGCAACAAACCACCCTTGTGTGGTGCAGGCCATTGAAATAAATGGGGTTTATAGTGCCAGAGTTGGGTGTAAGACGTTCGACAGTAACGCGTTGCTGTATTCTAATTACATATTTGAGGAACGCAGTAATGTAATGAATTACATTTTAAATTTTGTGTAATTTGATTGCAGTTACTAAAGTCAATCTAATTGCGTTACCTAGAAAAAATGCTTCTTTTAAATCACATTTTCTGCTGCAATGTCAGTTAATAAGCATGTGCTACTGTATGTCCAGTCTCTAAAGAACTTTCGACTGCTTTAAACTCTACCAGCTACTTGTTCAAGCACTTGAACAGAAAGCATTCTACAACAATACACGTCACCAAGGAGGACACCGGTGCCCAAAAAACACAGCAGCGCAACTCGGCCTAGACAGGCTAAATTGGATTTTTGTGCAGGATAGGGAATGAAGGTATCTACTGAATGTGAAGAGAAGTGTAGCTGCTTGGGGCAGTTCACATATCTTTTGCGTGCGCGTATATTGGGAGCACATATTGCGCGCGCTCGCATTTCCCAGACGCACCAGTTAAACTGAACGATCAGCTTTAAACTTTATAAGGAATATACACATTTCGGTAGAATAATTACCTCTGATAATCACAGAACACCTAAGCACTGCAGTGCTTTTGCTTACCATGGATGACAATGGTTTCAGGTATTCAGTTTTCTTCATGTCTACTTTTGTGTTAAAAAACAAAAAAAAGACACGTGTTTGGAACAAGTTAGTGATGAGAGAATTTAAAGTTCTGTGTGAACTCTAAGCATTTTGAATATATCAAGCTGCTGTGATCAACTCATGGTAATGTGTAACTAATAGTCATTTTTAGTGAATATTAAATTACTGAAAGCTCTGCAGTAACTTCAAAGTAAAGTAATTAGTTATCTGATTCCTTTTTACATGAAGTAATTAGTAATGTAATCACATACAAATTTTTGAGTAGTAATCAGTAATTTGTAATCAATTACTTTTTAAACGTAACTTACCCAACATTATGTGTTTCTACTGTTAAAGCTGCTTCACACCACACAGTGACTACGGCTGAAGCAAAAGTAAAGCTGGCAGTGCAGCACAGCATAGCATTTTTTCTTTCTCTTTTTATTTTTTTTGGCTTTTTTTTCTTTCTGAAGAAAACCAAAAATGGCAAGTTTTCGGTAGCTGATAATTCGGTGTAACCCTAGAGAAACATCGCTAAACATGTAAAAAAAAAAAAAAAAAAAAAGTCATTTTCAAGCAGCAAGTGAACCAATCATCTCCTCCTATTTGCTATTGGTATAGCTTACAGAAATTCATCATTTTTAATTTAATTTACCCCAGTAAAGCTATTCCGTGTTTTTCATGCATTAGTTCATTAAAGTCCTTCATTAACTTAACCTGCTTTCCAATATTTAATGTTTAAATGCATTCATCATCAAAGTACTTTCTGCGGTCACCTTTAAACTGGAGAAGAAATATAAATATAATGAAATGATTATTATTACAATGTTGTTATTATTATTTAATAAAATGGCTCAATTGTGATGTTTGTAAATCAGTTGCATTTACAAATCGTACTGATTTAAAATTGAATCAAAATCCAAACTTATGAGTCAATATCAAATCTAATCATCTCTTTCAACAATCCCCAGCCATTAAAAGTCCCCCAGACAAGCAGACAGGTACGAACAGTGTCCATTTAATGGGACAAGTGTCTGTAACCTGATCCTGAGGGCTGCGGGTTTGGACAGGTGTTAATTTGACCCATTCATGTGCTTTAATTGGACTGCAGGGCGGCTGATGCTGAACCCTGTGGTCTCATCTCTCATTATAGAGATTGTAATGAAGTTACCCTGTAGTGGAGACCAATGAAAGGTGCTGACCCCTAGAGATGTCCTCACCCCGTTGCTGGGACACCTGAGACATGTTCTGGCCCACCGTTCCTCCGGCGCTCCTATTAAACCAATCTTTTATACTTAGTGCTTCAGTGCACAAATCAAGAAGCTCATTAGTTTTTGAGGTTTTTTTCACTAAGCATCACTATTGTTCTGGAAATGAATGTGTGTTTTTATAATACGAGGCTGTTCAATATTTGTTTGTTACTTATTATTAAAAAAAAAAAAAAAACACACAGCTAAAATAGTCATGTCTTGATCATATTACAGCTCCATCTCATGATGATTTCTGTTTTTTACAGCCCACAATGGTCAAAAATCTAAAAACGACAAACTTTAGATGAGATGTGTAAGAAATAAGTTCCATACAAAGGATTTACTAATCCACAAGTCAAGTCGTGATACTTGAAACACTGTTTCCGGGTTCAAGCTGCTACTCGTTTGAATTGAGAAAATATTCATTTATGACCACTTTTTAGTCATGTCACACATTAAAGTGAATTTTATATAAAATCATGGTGTACACAACAGTCTCCAGATTTGCTGCATCTCAGACTCTAATATTTTAACATTTTAATAAAAAATAATCACTTTATGGCCATCAGATATATATATATATATATATTAGAGGTGTGAACTTATACTGGTCTCACGGTTCGGTTACGGTTATCATGCCATTAATTTGGTTCAATTTGATATCTCGGTGCATCACGGTGCATTGACCATGCTTTCCTTACACAGTGTTATATTTTGGGGGGAGGCTATAACAAGCTGTCTGTGTAAACACACAGACGCACATCACTGTCTTTCATTCACACACATACACAATCATAGACAGCACCAAACAAACAAACACAGACACTTAAGCCTTCGCAATATGCATTTAGCCAGGAGAGCTCGGGATAAGTGGAGCAAAAAAAAACAAAAAAAAGAAACACTTTCCGACGGTCCCTTTCTGAGAGCTCCGCTCTGCGCGGGCTCTCTCGGCTAAATGCATATTGCGAGGGCTTAAAGGGAGCAGTGGTCGTAATGTCGAGCGAAAAAAAAAAAGAGAAAAAGACAGCTGTGAAACATAACCAGCTATGTCTTTTTGTAGAAAACACACTTTAGATCTTTTTTAGCGCTTCTTTTTCTGATAAACTCGCATCATCTATGTTGTAAGCGTGCTCAGTTTCAGAAGGTAAAAAATGCAATGTGAGTGCAGGCGAGGGGGAGAGGGGATGGGGGACAGTCACGCTTTGGCACAGTTCAAGGCAACTGTACCTAATGTGAGTACACCCTAAATCAGTGGCCACCAAACTTGTTCCTGGAGGGCCGTTGTCCTGCAGATTTTAGCTCCAACCCTAATCAAACACCTTAACAAGCTAATCAAGGTCTTACTAGGTATACATGAAACACCCAGGCAGGTGTGTTAAGGCAAGCTGGAGCTAAACCCTGCAGGGACACCGGCCCTCCAGGACCGAGATTGGTGACCCCTGCCCTAAATAATCATGCATTCTGGATTGTTGGTGTTTTTTGCTGTTGGGAAGAGGTGAAACTTTAAATTTTTACTGTTGATCATCAGTTGGCATCATCATTGACCCTTATTGACCCCTGATCATAATTCCTAAAATTGTATTATAGTTCCTAAAAATTTGGATCGCGGCTTGATGACCATGTAAAAATGTGGGTCCACTGGCCAAACCGGTTGAGATCCCCTGCGCTATACTATACTTCATATAACAAAGTAATTTTAAATCTAGAACAAAGCTTTTTTTGCACTGCAACTAAATATCAACAGCAAAAATGTGTAAATTTACCTCTTCCCAACAGGGAAAATCAGCAACAACTAAGAATGCATGATTATTTAGCTTCATTGATTTGCAATCAAAAAATGTCTTTATAATGGAAGTCAATGGGGTAAAAACAGCCAACAACAAAATGAAAGGGAAGTAAATTTGCCCAGAGTGTATTTGTGAATTTTTGAAAAATTTCAAAGCGTTTTCCCAAAATATGTGTCAAATAAGATTTGTCACCAAAAATCATTCTGTTTGCCTAAACACAGAGAAGGTTGTGACCAAATTAAGACACAGAATCCCTTTAGAGTGGATGAAAACATCCCCCACGGCACATAATGGATAATTAAATGTAATGTATTTACTAACAGAAACTAAAAATGAACAATATTTGTAGAGCGTTTAGTAATTCAAGTAACATTTACTAACATTATTTCTATTCAAATCCAAAGTGCTTGTTAAAATTAGTTAATGCACTTTGTGTTACAATTACTACTGCAATAAATGTAGTGTTTTGATCATTAACTAGCATTACCTTATTTTCTTTTCTTTTTTATTTTATGTTTGCTTGTATACACAAGTGCATATTCATACTTCTGAACAAAAAGCGGTGTCTTAGCCTAATTTTAATGGCCATATTTATTAGACCCCTTTCATGTCCTGTACGTGACAAGAGAGGAAATGAAACTTCCCAAAAGGCATTGCTCACACAACATGTTAATCCATCACCTGATGTAAATTACACGCGGTGACCACGTCTGGAGCGCCTCTAGATGGGATTGTTTTGGTGTTGTTCTCCATCCCCCTGCTTCCTTAATAACCTGTGATACTTTAATTTATGACTGCAGTTCATTGAAGGCAGACTGGCCAAATTAAATGCAGGAAGGGGCTTTACAGACGTCTATGAAGAGGAGATCACAGAGGGCGGCTTTTGCAAGAGTGAGTGCCACCTTTCTTTCTTTTTTTCCAATATGGTCTTTTTTTGGGGTGGGAGGGAAGGGGGGGTGTATTCACAGTGCCACCTTTCTATCTTACAGAGAACAAACAGCTCACAAACACTCTCAGTTGACATTTTGAAAGAAATTGTGTTATTAAAATTGTGCAATTAAAATTTGGTCATAATTTACCCGTTATTTGAAATGAAACGAAGCGAAAAAAAATGTCGATAATAATTTATGCTGCATCTAAGTAGTAGATGTTGATAGTATTTTTTATTTAGATCTGTAACAAACTTTGAGTGTAAGATTCAAATTTTTGATAGTTTTTTTTTTATAAGTATATTTATTGACAATATACATAACATTATGTAGAATGTAAAAATACAAGGAGTTTCAGAACATTTTTAACAATTAGCAAAAGAAAAATAATTATAACAGTAAAAAAGAAAAAAAAAATACACAAATATAACCCACCCTGTCACCACCCCCCCCCCCCCCATCCATACAAGGTATAATTGTCACTAATTTTGTCAAAACATTTCGAAACATTTTGATGATACGTAAAAATAGTTGAAATAGTTGATGTAGTAATCAATAAAACCAACAATAACCCACAATTAAATTACATTTACAAATATGATAAAATATTTAATTAAAATAATAATTTAAAATAAGAGAAAGTAAGAACAACAACAAAACAACAAAAGACTAGCAAAACTGACAATAATCATATGAAATATTCAATTATAAAAGTGTAACAGAGGTAACGTGTCAAGAAAAGGACCCCAAATATAATCAAAGTCTGCAGGCTTTTGTCTGACAGGATACAATATTTTCTCGGGTACTATTACATAGGAAATTTGTTGTTTGATCTACAATAATATGTGGAACTATATATATGAAATATGCATGAATTGTTGTGTATACTTTTTAAAATATTACGCTGAAATTTTAATTAATGTGGAAATGAATTGTACGGGTGTCTGTGGAAACCTTTGGAGAAAAAGCAAAAAAAAATTGTTAAAAAGTTGAATTTAATTATAATTTATAATTGAAATAAAATCAAATAAAAATTAAATAACAAACCAAATGTTCATTAAGATAAATAAATACACATTAGTATAAAAAAAACAAACTACTAATAAAATAATTATTTGGAAAATTAAATAAAATGTATTTATATTATATATATATATATATATATATATATATATATATATATATATATATATATATATATATATATATATATATATAATGAAAATTATTTTACAGCTGTTTTACAGTATATTTGTGAGTTTCAAGAACAACACATCTTGCAAAAAGTTTTTTGTAAACATTTGTCAAAATTATAATTATTATAGCAAAATAACATAAAAATAAAACGAAATACCCAAGCAAATGTTTATTATGATAAATAAATACATATCAGAGTAAAGGAAACAAACTAATTAATAAAAATAGTTTATTGGAAAATTAAATAGGTTGTATTTATATTATATATATTTTTCCTTTTTTAAATTAACTCCATAAAAACTAAGATTTTTTTTAATTATTATTATTATTATTATTATTATTATTATTATTATTATTATTATTATTAATAATAATAATAATAATAATAATAATAATAAGGTGTTAAGTTGTTCATTATTATTATTATTATTATTTACATTTTGAAAGCTGTTTTACTGTTTATTTGTGGGGGTTTCAGGAACAACATATTTTGGTAATATTTTTTTTTGTCAACATTTGTCAATTATTAAAAAATATATATATTTTACTTAGCAAAATAAAATTAAAATTAAATACCCTAGCAAATGTTTATTAAGATAAATAAAAACATAACAGAGTAAAAGAAACAAAAAAGAAACTAATAAAAATAGTTAATTGGAAAATTAAAAAGGATCTAATTATATATATTATACATATACATATTTTGCAAATATTTTTTGTCAACATTATTAAACAGTCTTTACTATCATATTTTATTCATACTGTACAGTGTTCAGCATAATCGAGTACATCTCATTTTGAAAATGAATATTTTTATCTATTTCTCAGTCAATATAGGCAGTGTATTTTGGTGCATTTAAACAAAACAAATTTATTAAACATATATATTTATTAAAGATATATTTAAGTCACCAAACATATTTAGAAATTGAAAGATTTTTTAAAAAATACAACCTACAAAATTTCTACTAAATTCTACAATATTTTTGCTTCTCTTGATTTTTCCTACTTTTAAAATTTGTATTTAATATTTTTATAACATATACATTTGGGTGTACTAATTTTTGAACTATACCTTAAGTTATTTTGTTAGATTAGCTCCAGATTTGGCTTCAGTACTGACCAATGTAATATATATGCACAATTATATGTATACTTGAGCACTCTACAGTACAGTATATGCAGAAATATGCAGAAGGACCCTACACTGTTACAAAATCGCCATATTTAGGGTCTGTTTCCTTTAAAAATCACAATCTTTACTGCCTATGCGATATAAAGTGAGTCTCAGAATGTGGAAGAAGCACTGCATTAAATTACATGTGTTTCCCCCATGTCTTTAAAATATGAAAATTGATTTTACCCCAGTATTTTCAATGGAGTTTCTGCACTCGTCTGCTGATCCTGACAGGCATGTGCATGTAAACGGCTATTCATCTCGTTTTACGCTTCAACAACCAAATGAATGCTGAAGTCTATTTTAACTGATTATATTTTAATTACACTAAAACATCAATGCTGTAAAAGGAACCTTATGAAATTAAAAAAGTCACATTAACTGTTCACCAGATGCGCATCCTATTGGAAGAAACACTAGCTGTGCATTTAACACATTGCATTCGTTCTGAATAAAACTCTATCTGATCCTAAACTTTGGTACTGCAAGTTTAAATATGCAAAAGTTCTTCTTCCATGAATGATATTTTACTCTGAATTCATTATCTCATTCGCTTCTGCTTCTCAGGTAATTCGAAGTCTTATCAACAGTGGATTCACACCAAGATGGTAAGCAGCAGGAAATGACTCATTTTTTCCCACTCATAATGTTAATGTTAATTTGGGCTGAATAATCAAGCCCAAAGCAGCGGAGCGTTTTTATTATTATTTCCTGTTGGTTGTGAGGTGATGAAACCCATCCAGTGGAGCGAATGGCATGAAAGCGGAGATGCGATGCCAGGGAAGATGGTGAAAACTGTGGCGTGGGACAGTTAAGATGTCGAGACGGGCTTGATATGATGTGACAGCCAGTCATACGAGATGACACGAGACTTCTGGCAGGAAACACAGCCATTACTCGATAGATTGAACAAAAGAAAAGCCCTCTTTTCTTCTCTCCTTCCCTCCGCTGTCTTCCTCTCACCTCTGTTTTCTTTTTCCACTGTCTCTTTGCGTTCTCAATCCGTCAGCCGGAGCCGAATTAGTTCTCTGGAGTGCCGCTTTCAAAAGGTTTTGTGTAAAGTTCACATCCTCTGACTGACACAAATCCATAAGTAAAAGGGCTGCAGTGCCGTCATGTCGGTCAAGGCTTTGGGAAGTAAATTCACCAGCATCTTTGGTGCGTTTTAGCGTGTTAGCCTTGCAGCAATCATCAAGTAAAAAGCCACGATAGATGAAATCAGACAAGAGCACGCCATTCGCTAAGAGCTTCGTCACACATAGCTTCGTATAAAGGGACCAGGCTTGTTTAACAGGCAAAGGTGTTTCTCATCGCTTTAGGGCAAAACAAACGCTTTGACTGAAGGAACAAGGCATTTATTCAGCTGTTAATGATTTGTGACAGTAAATGTGTGTTTATTTTATGTGAAATGTGTTGGACAAAAAACATTCTGATCTCTTTTGCATAGCGGGAGAGGGCGAAACCAGTCGTGAAGAACTTTCAGATGGTAAGTTTAACCTCGGACTATATATAAAAAATGATGGATGGATGGATGGATGCATGGACAGAACGATAGATCATCATGGATGAATGGACAGAATGGAAAATATGGACGGGAAGACGGACAGATAGATAGATAGATAGATAGATAGATAGATAGATAGATAGATAGATAGATAGATAGATAGATAGATAGATAGATAGATAGATAGATAGATAGATGGATGGATGGATGGATGGATGGATGGATGGATGGATGGATGGATGGATGGATGGATGGATAAATAGAAATAACCAGATATATAAACTTATATAAAATAAATATAACGATAGATAGATAGATAGATGGATGGATGGATGGATGGATGGATGGATGGATGGATGGATGGATGGATGGATGGATAGATAGATAGATAGATAGATAGATAGACAGACAGACAGACAGACAGACAGACAGACAGACAGACAGACAGACAGACAGACAGACAGACAGACAGACAGACAGACAGACAGATAGATAGATAGATAGATAGATAGATAGATAGATAGATAGATAGATAGATAGATAGATAGATAGATAGATAGATAGATAATATTTAAATATTTCCCAAATTATGTTTAACAGAACAATGAAATTTTCACAGTATGTCTGATAATATTTTTTTCTTCTGGAGAAAGCCTTATTTGTTTTATTTCGGCTAGAATAAAAGCAGTTTTTAATTTTTAAACATCATTTTAGGGACAAAATTATTAGCCTCTTTAAGCTAATTTTGTTATCAATAATCTACAGAACAAACCACTGTTATACAATAACTTGCCTAATTACCCTAACCTGCCTAGTTAACCTAATACACCTACTGAAGCCTTTAAATGTCACTTTAGGCTGTATAGAAGTATCTTAAAGAATATCTTGTCAAATATTATTTACTGTCATCATGGGAAAGAGAAAATAAATCATTTATCAGAAATGAGTTATTAAAACTATTATGTTTAGAAATGTGCTGAAAAAAATATTCTCTCAGTTAAACAGAAATTGGGGAAAATAAACAAGCAGTCTAATAATTCAGGGGGGCTAATAATTCTGATTTCAACTGTAGATAGATAGATAGATAGATAGATAGATAGATAGATAGATAGATAGATAGATAGATAGATAGATAGATAGATAGATAGATAGATAGATAGATAGATAGATAGATAGATAGATAGATAGATAGATAGATAGATAGATAGATAGATGGATGGATGGATGGATGGATGGACGGATGGACAGAACGATAGATCATCATGGATGAATGGACGGATAGACAAATGGATAGATAGATGGATAAATGGATGGACAGAACAATAGATCATCAAGGATGATTGGACGGATCAATGAATCGACGGTTCGACGGATGAATGGATTTATGGATGGATGGATGGATGGATGGAAGGGAGGGTGGATAGAACCATAGATTGATAGAATAACAGATAGATGGATAAATAAATAGATAGATGGATGGATGGATGGATGAACGGATGGATGGATGAACGGATGGATGGATGGATGGGAGGGTGGATAGAATCATAGATTGATAGAATAACAGATAGATAGATAGATAGATAGATAGATAGATAGATAGATAGATAGATAGATAGATAGATAGATAGATAGATAGATAGAATCTAAATAATATTTTTTTCATGGTTAATTATCATTTTCCTTTCATATTTTTCTTTCATCAACTGATTAATCTATTTCCTTTTGTTTTTTGAAAGGCCAAAGATCACGCGAAGCGGAAAATACGCGACATGAAGGACAAGATTACACAAAAGGTGAGTTATCCAGTCTTCTTCCTATCAAAACCTCTCCCTCTCCAAAAGCCTAAAAATGCTGTGTGAGAGCTCACCGTCTCTCACATTCACACTCGCACAGACTCATGCCCTCACACTATTTAAGATGGATCACGTGGCTTCACCCATGGCTCGCGCTCGGGGTTTTAAATGGCTTGTGAAACCTGCTTAGCGCTTTGTTCAGGAGTGTACATTTCTAACAAGTGCGCCTCCGGCAATGGGCTGTCATGTCAACCCCCCTTTCCCCGGCACCACCTTTCATATTTTTTTGCATATTTCATCAGTGAGCGAGTGATTTCTTCAAAGCTAATGTAACGAGATGTATGTTTCCATAACACTGATGTCTTTGATAAGGCAATTGTGGCGTGAACTGTCAGACCAGGAGCTCAGAAAGGCGGCCCAGAGGAGACGAGACCTCTCACAGTTGATACGCTGGATGTTCGCTGCTGTCGGCTCCGCTTCAGCTAAAGCAAAACAGATTTGAACAAGACTCAAATGAGTCGGTGTTATTGGGCGTGTGCGCGTGTGCATTCGTATAAATAATCATGCAGTTTTCTGCGGCACAAGTCGGCTTGTTGCAGAACATTTCCAATAACGTACTCTGATGAATTGTACTCATATTATAAAACTTTTGTTCGCAAATTCTTGGCTTTGCTTTTACATTTTGGAGATGATGCTAAAGAGAGGCACTAAAGGAATGAAACGTTTCATGGGTGAACGAGAAAGATCTGCACAGAAAATACAAATTGCGCAATTTTCTATTACAATGAATTTATTTTGTCATCAATTATAAATTTGACCATCTTGGTGGATGGTAGATCTTGGTAGATCTAATTGGATTATTTAGTGCCTGCTTTGAATCAGGCCCATGCAGAGAGATTGTGTATGTTCATGTAAATGACACGGGCATATCTAAAAGCTTTTAGTAACGTGGTAGCTACCATTTTACTAATTTTTTTTTATATTTGCGAGTTGGTTGATCCCCATCGGCTCCCTGGTTGATCTATCGGCATCTTCAAGATTACACAGATGAATGAAGGCTCTGGAAACTGTTACTATGGTTACTACTAATGATTAAGGGTAGTGTATTTATTTCTGACTGCGATCAAAACTTTTTGATATTACCTGTTCAATAAAAAATTTCATTGCACAACTTTCAGCCAATCAGAATCAAGTATTTCAACAGAGCATGGAATCAAGGTATTGTGAACAACACACACTTAATTGAGTCCAATACAATGATTTGAAGCCGGAACGAGAGTGAAATCTGACTAGGGAACTTCTTTAATGCATAAATTATTCAAATGACTTGAATCAGCCCTCAAATTTCAACAGAACAATTGTAAAATTTGCTGCACCTTAAAGGGATAGTTCAGCCACGCAGTTACATCTCCACTTGCGTTTCTTTGTTGAACACAAAAGTTTTATTTTGAAGAATGTTGGTAGCCACGGATTTTCCCAGTATGTTTTTCTACTAGAATGTCAGTTTGAACATACACAATCTAAAACATCAAAATATCTTCTTTTCTTCTTCCTAAAAAAATAATGCTAAAAGAAAGGTCAAGGTGATCCAGGATTGGTCAGCCCAGTCACTGGACATAAATATTATTGAGCATGTCTGGGGTAAGATGAAGAAAGAGGCACTGAAGATTAATCTTAAGAATCATGATGAACTCTGGGAGTCCGTGTCCTTTGTCTATTTAAGACATTCTTCAAAATATCTTCTTTTGTTTTTTCTTCTGTTTCTCTGCATCATACACTGTGTATATATTAAACAGTTTCTCTCTTTTTTGTTTAAAAAACTTATTCAACACACTTATAATCTGTGCATTATAAATTGGGTGTGATATCTTTTATATACTACCTGACAAAAGTCTTGTTGTCTATCTCAGTTGTAAGAGCAACAAATAATAACTTGACTTCTAGTTTATCAGTTTGAAAAGTGTCAGAAGGTAGATTTCTCTGATTAATCATCTGTTGGACTGCATCCCATTCCTCACAAATACTGCAGAATACCTATTGGAACCCGCATGGACCCAAGCGTCTCAGAGAAATCAGTCAAGTTCGGTGAAGGGAAAATCATGGTTTGGGGTTACATTCAATATGTGGGCGTGCGAGAGATCTGCAGAGTGGATGGCAAGATCAACAGCCAGAGGTATCAAGACTTTTGTGCTGCCCATTACACTACAAACTACAGGAGAAGGCAAATTCTTCAGCAGGATAGTGCTCCTTCTCGTATTTCAGTCTCCACATCAAAGTTCCTGAAAGCAAAGAATGTCAAGCTGCTCCAGGATTAGTTAGCCCAGTCACTAGACATGAAAATTCTTGAGCATGTCTGAGGTAAGATGGAGGAGGCATTGAAGATGAATCCAAATAATTTTGATGGGAGTCCTGCAAGAACGCTTTCTTTGCAATTCCAGATGACTTTATTAATAAGTGATTTGAATCATTGTAGAGATGTGTGGATGCAGTCCTCCAAGCTCATGGGAGTCATACACAATATTAATTATTTTCCCACTGCACCATAACTTTATATTCTATACTGTACATTATTTATGTGAAGTGACAAGACTTTTGTCTTAGCAAAGTCAGACTGTGCTGTCCTAATTAAATAATTAAAAATCAAGGCATGATCATATTTTATTTTGGAAAAAATAAGCGTAATCTAGAGGCCTTTGCCTTTTCATATAAGACACTTCTGATACCAAAAGATCAACTAGATATATAGCTATTACTTGTTGTTCCTAAAACTTGGATAGGCGACAAGACTTTTGTCAGGTAGTGTACTGGGTTCACAACAAAATGCTAATTTTATTATGCGAAATTAAATGCGAAGAGTGGCAAATTTCCACTGGGTGGCGCAATAACAAGGAATCCATGACACCTTTGCTACGAGCACACAGAATTCACCTCAATCTTGACTCCGCACAACTTCAAAAAGTGCAAAAGTTCTGTAAGGTAAAAAACATCCCTTGAGTACTCGAGAGCAATTGATGCAGTGCTTCAAGTTTGGTGTGTACCCAGCATTAGACTGCGAATAGCAGGAAAGATCCCAATAGTAAGGCATTGGAAGAAATTTTACCAAAATGGCCCGACTGACATGATTGAAATCTGAGCAAGGAACTCCTGATCACACATATTCCTATTCAAATTATTTTATTCCACCTTCGCATTAAAACAAGATCTTTTAAGGAACTTGGACTTGCTTGTGATTAGACTGCGTACATGTTAAGCCAGCACTGTGCTCTATTTCTCAGCTCTCTCTCTTGTCTTTTGGCTTGCCGGCAGGACACTGAAGAGGAGGAAAGCCCATACTGTGAAGGTTCTCCCACCAGCACTAAAAGCCTCTCGCCCAGGAGACTTCAGAGGATAGCGGTAAGCACACACACACACACACACACACACACAGTCCGACTCCTGAAAGAAGCGCCCATTTGCACACCAGTAAGTCTGAGTCGACGCGGGGCGGCGTGATTGACAGCTGTGGCTAAAGCGGCCGTGTGTAGAGTGTGTGTAGTGTGTGTGTTTTGCGTGTGCAAGTCAGTGATGTGTTGCCAAGCTCAGGCAGGGAAGCGGTGAGCCCCCCATAGATGCGGGAGGTGGCCTGGATTCATACCATTCACTGGCCTGCCTCCATTTCCAAACCCCAAATAGGCCGCAGTTGGTTTGGACTGTTTTTGGACTGAGGTTTTGCTAGGTTTGTTAGCTAAAAGTGCTATATGCTTGAGTTTTTAATGTTTTTTTTGTTTTTGTTTGTCTTGAAAACCATATTTTAGTATGTTAATTTGCATTTTTATCCTCTATTTGGAGCTACAGCATTATAGATTTGTGTTTGAGTAAACCATAAATTTAGTTTATTCTTTAAACCAGGGGTCTTAAACTTAAATTGGTGGGGGGCATTTTTGTTTCATTCATTCATTCATTCATTCATTTTCTTTTCGGCTTAGTCCCTTTATTAATCCGGGGTCTCCACAGCGGAATGAACCGCCAACCTATCCAGCATGTTTTTACGCAGCGGATGCCCTTCCAGCCACAACCCATCTCTGGGAAAATTTAAATTAATTTATTTCCTCAAAATTCTACACACAATACCCCATAATGACAATGTGGAAAAAAAAAACATTTGTTGCAAATTTATTAAAAATAAAAAACCCTGAAAAATCACATGTACATAAGTATCCACAGCCTTTGCCTTAAAGCTCTAAATTGAGCTAAGGTTCATTCTGTTTCCACTGATCATTCTTGAGATGTTGTAGCAGCTTAATTAGAGTTCACCTGTGGTAAATTCAGTTGATTGGACATGATTTGAAAAGGCATACACCTGTCTATATAAGGTGCCAGGGTTGACAGTGCATGTCAAAGCACAAACCAAGCATGAAGACTAAGGAATTGTCTGTAGACCTCCGAGACAGGTTTATCTTGATGCACAAGGCTGGTTAAGGTTACAGAAAAATTTCTGCTGCTCTGAAAGTTCCAATGAGCACAGTGGCCTCCATCATCTGTAAATGGAAGATGTTTGGAACCACCAGGACTCTTCCTAGAGCTGGCCGGCCATCTAACCTGAGTGATTGGGAGGGAGAAAGGCCTTAGTCAGGGAGGTGATCAAAAACCCAATGGTCACTCTGTCTGAGCTCCAGCATTCTTCTGTGGAGAGAGAAGAACCTTACAGAATGACATCTGTGCAGCAATCCCCCAATCAGGCCTGTATGGTAGAGTGGCCAGACGGAAGACACTCCTTGCCTGGAATTTCCCAAAAGGCATCTGAAGGACTCTCGGACCATAAGAAACAAAATTCGTCCCTCAGACTGGGGCAACTGTTCATCTTCCAGCAGGACAATGACCCAAAGCACACCGTCAAAATATCAATGGAGTGGCTTCACAACAACTTGGTGAATGTCCTTGAGTGGCCCAGCCAGAGCCCATACCTAAATCCTATTGAACATCATCTAGAGCTCTGAAAATGGCTGTACATCGTCACTTTCCATCCAACCTGATAGAGCTTGAGTGGTACTGCAAAAAGGAATAGGTAAAAATTCCAAAATGACAGGTGTGCCAAGCTTGTGGCATCATATTCAAAAAGACTACAGAGGCTGTAATAGCTGCCAAGTATTGAGCAAAAATTATGTGAATACTGTAAATACGTATATACATGTGATCTATCAGGTTTTTTATTTTTAATTATTTTTGGAACAATTAAAAAAAAATCTTTTTTCACATTGTCATTATGGGATATTTTGTGTAGAATTTTGAGGAAATAAATGATTTTAATGCATTTTGGAATAAAGATGTAACATAAAAAAATTATGTGGGAAAAAATGAAGCGCTATGAATACTTTCTGAATGCATTGTAAAGCTAATATCAAACATTAGAACATTTCAAATCAGCTGTTAATAAAAAGTTATCTATTTATATTAAAATACCGCACAACCTATAAGGAAGATCAGCCTATTCAAATGTTATCACTCTATTGAATGGGCATCATCAGTGGTTAGTTGCTGATAAATATGGGCCAATAGGGGCCTTCTGCGCGTACTGGTAGGCTCATAAGGCTGTTATCATTCATCCACATGGTTATTCAGCTGTAGATCTCATACGGCTGCGGCCAGAAATTAACTTGAATTATTGATATCATTTAATATATTTCCCAATAATTATATTTTATTAAAGTCTACTCCAGGGGTCACCAACCTTTTGGAAACTGAGAGCTGCTTCTTAGGTACCGATTAGTGTGAAGGGCTACCAGTTATTAAATAACATTTTTCTTAATTTACTTTTAATTATATGTTATTAATAATAATGAATAATATTCATCTATGTGAAGACATTGATCATATTAATGATTTCTCACAGTAGTTGTCAACAATGATTTAACAAGTTAGATAAATATCAATATGCAACACTTCATTTGTCTGAAATTGTTTTTAAAGTTTTTTTTTTTAAATATATAAATTAAAGTAATTTTCAAATTTACACCAATGCAAGTGTGATTTAAAAAGAATACCTATAAAAATATTAGATGCAGCTTACTTATATGTGGCGCTATGGTGAGCTGTTTTTAGAACAGGCCCGCAGGCAACTCATGTGAACCTGGCGGGCTACCTGGTGCCCACGGGCACCATGTTGGTGACTCCTGGTCTACTCTAACCCCAACCCTAACCCCAACCATCACAGTAATGTAAAAACAGATCTGAATCTGCAGTCTTCTATATCAGTATAGCTGAGTAACCATGTGAATGGATGATAACAGCCTTCTGAGCCTACCAGTAGGCGCAGAAGGCCCCTACTGGCCCATATCTATCAGCTGATAACCATTGATGCCCATTAAATTGAGTGATAACATTTGAATTATGTTAATAACATTTAAAGATGCATTTAAAATAGATGTTTTTTAAAGCATAAAATATCTTTTTACTGCCACTTTTATTAAATCTGAAATATTTTTAGCTGTTTAACACTACTAAAAATGTTCTCAGACAAGTGAAAGCGTATTTAGTTTTACATTCATAGTCAATACATTCATTTTATTGTGTTGGACCCAGAAAAGAAAATGTAAGAGTTTCTAACAAGCATTCTTTCTGACTGTAGTCACCTCTCATGTTTGAATATTTTAAAATAAATCTACTGGTTCATAAATTGCCTAGTCAGACACACACACACGCACGCACACACTCATCATGTATCATTAAAAGTGTCCTTTGCTTAACACTCGCTTTTCAGCAACTGCAACTCAGCAACCTGAATGCTGATCAGAAATGCAGGGCTGAATGGCGCAAGTGTTGATTAGTTGTAAAAATAGCTCACTTCCGGCACCAACAGCCAGCCCTTGTTGCCCTTACATGCTCACACCTCTGTGGCCCGTGCTAGAAGGGCATTGGACAAAAGCCACAGCCGGCCAGATCCTCCCCATCACCCTGCAGGCTTTCCATCCAGCCCTTCATTAACGCTGCTATTAGCTGCATACTTGATGAGTAGAGAATGGCGTCAAAAGTATGGAGACGGAGCTCCTCCAATTAGGAGCTTTTCTAAAGGCAAGACACTGCAGGTCAATAGGGTACAAACAGTATATAATATATTTATCACCATATTTAATTAGTTTATTGATTACATTTATTTTGTATTACAAGTTTTCTAAAATGTTGATCAAATATGCACAGTAGGTTTAATTTGCATGCATTTCTAGCCTAGTCGGGTTCAAAATTCTTGTTCTGCTTTTTCATTATTTATATTTGTGTCAGAGGTATTGAGAGATAAGATGTTAGGAATCATATTTTATCACTAGCAAACAGAAAATGTTTTTTTACTTCTAAAAATTGCCAAAAACGAAAAAAAAAAGATTGAATAAACTCTTCGCTTAGATGCTTGTAAGCACTATTGAAGTGGAGATTAGCTGTGTTTCTATTCAAAGAACTAGAACATTGCATAAAACGTTTACAAATAAAGCACCTTTTCCATCCAATGAGTCACATAGAACAAAATCAGCACTTCTTGATAAACTAAATATCAAAAATAAAAATTTGCAGCGGTAGAAGAAAGCAATGATCGCACAATGGTTTTTAGAGGCGTGACATAATAATACTGAACCACTTTGTTTTTACAATTTCCAAAACAACATTTGAAATGTTTTATAATGTTGTGAGTCTGCCAGTTTGTCCATTATTGCTGTCTCATTGCACCTATTTTTGTCATCCCATGATATCTTAAAATAAAACATCACATGGCTTTTTTTGCCCCATATGCTGGAATTTATTTTGTAAATGGGTGTCTATTTTAGTTTGTGCATTTGTTATTATTGAATAAAAACTACATCCACGTATAGTTATGTAAAAATATTAGGTAACACTTTACAAAAGGGTTCATTAGTTAATGCATTTACTAACATGAACCAATCATGAACAACACATGTACAGCATTTTTTAATCATAATTGAACATTTACTAATGCATTATTAACATTTAAGTCCATGCTTGGTAAAATTAGTTAATGCACCATGAGTTAACATGAACTAACAATGAACAACTGTATTTTCATTAACTAATGTTAAGTAACATGAACAAATACCGTAGTAAATGTATTGTTCATTGTTTGTCCATCTTAGTAAATGGATTAATTAACATTAACTAATGAACCTTATTGTAAAGTGTGACCAAATAGTATAACAAAAAGTTTTAATATGTACGTTTTTGTATTTTACAATTGATGTGCATCTTTGCATTTTTTATGCAATATTTTATAGCTATGTAGCTACATAATAAAGAGCTATGTATGAAGAGACCACTCATTATGAGAAAACAACCTTTAAAACGATGGGTATTTGAAATCAACAAACACATTGATAAAATGTGTAACAAATGAAATGCATAAAAGTGTATTTGGG